CAAAACCACTGGGGCCATCCTTCCCATATAGACACGTGCATAAAAGGGGGATCTGCTTCCCAAACCCGCTTCCAGAGCCAGCTCCCACCATCCCACCCAGCACCCTGCGCTCTGGCACGGAGGAGCCAGCACCGGGGAAGCACCCGCATTGCCCCAGCTATCAACATGAATTACATTTCTCCCCTGCTTTTTTCCCAACCAGACCAATTCACCCAAATTATCAGGCTCTTGCAAAAAAAACCCCCAAAACCTGCACCGACAAATGAAATGAAAAAGGTGGCAGGGTGCTGCATTTTGGGACGGGCTGGGCAGTGAGGTGGCCGGGACACTCACCCTGGGGGAGGCGGAAGACGCTGGGGGGGAAGCGGTGGCTGAAGGAGGAGTAGTCGATCTCATACTTGTCGTAGTGGGAGCCCAGGAGGCTGTTGAAGCCGTGCACCTCGAAGTGCAGGGGGACGGGGCCACGGGCAGAGCTGCCCACCCGCAGGGTGTAGACGTTCTTCTTGTGGCCCCAGTAGGAGACGTTCTGCCAGACGGCGCAGCGCTGCCCGCGGAAGCGCTCCTCCCGCACCCACTGGGCACAGTGCACGCATTGGGGACCGGGGTGCCACACCGGCCCCGGCCCCGCGCCCCTGGTGAGCCGGGGCACCCCGCAGCGATGCCGCTCCACCCATGCACCCATCCCGCAATCGTGCCGAGCTGGATGCAACCCCTCCACCTCCATCGCCCCTGGCTGCACCCACGTGTGTATGTACCCATTCCCAGCCAGGGAGGGCTGCTCTGCCCTCATAGGGAGGTGGCCGCCGGACACCCTGTACCCATGGGGGTGCCTTATCCCCTCCCCTGCCCCATCCCGCATCCTGGGGGACCATGTCTGGAGCTGACCTTGAAATTCTCCAGGCTGGGGAAGACACTCTGCGGGGCGATGAGGTCCCCATCAGTGCCGTTGATGCGGAAGCACTTGCGGACGTTGACCTCCGTCTCCGTGGTCTCGGGAGTCACTTTGAAGCTGGCACCGAAGGGCTCAATGGAGCCAAACTGGTAGGTGACCACTTGGCCTGGGGATGGGAACAGCGCTAAGGTCAAGCCAAGCCCCCAGGTCCTGGCAAGGTGATGGCTCCCAGGGCTTTGCTGGGGCACCCGAAGGAGGGGGATGGTGAGGGCTGTAGGGGATGGGGCCCTCTCTGCACCCACCGCCGTAGTACTCAATGCGGCTCTTCCCCCCGGTGAGGTTGTACCAGGCTTCAAAGGGCTCCCTGATCTCCGCGTAGGGCAGGCTGATGACTCCTGTGGGCACAGAAAGGCCGGGCTCGGGGGGCTGCGGAGTGCTGAGCCCCAGGGACATCCCCCATGCCCCCATCCTGAGCCCATGGCCAGGAGGGGAGCATGGGAAAGGCAGAGAGCACCCTGGGGCCGTGTGGCATCACCCCCTGCTCCCATCCATGGCCACCGCCCGCAGGGCAGCCCCCCCCGGGCG